GTGTGTGTGTGTGTGTGTGTGCGTGTGTGTGTGTGTGTGTATTCATATGTGCATCCTTTGGCTGTCCCTTTCTCTCTTTCCTCTATGGGGTAGAAATTTTTGAAATACAGTGTGGGGGGGTGTTTACATGGTATGGCAGAAATGGGCCCAGGAAACCTGTCTTGATAGCCCTAGGAAGCAATAAGGTTTGAATAATCATGCTATGAAGACAGAGACTCATCTCCTTGCCCCAAAGATTCTGGGAGATGCTATTCCACCTGCTAAGCCTCAGCTAGAACCATCTGCTGCAGTTCTGGGGGCATGGAATTGCAAGTGGCAGGAGAAAGAATAAATCCATGGGAGGCATGTGTCCCTGGAGAGTGGCAGTAAGGAACCTTGCCAGGCAGGAGCCCTGCTGCTGTCTGCCCCCCACCTTGGTCCATTGCTCAGCTTACTCAAGCCCCCTATTAGTACTCCCAGTCAACCTGCCTTCTCATTGCCCAACAAGACACCCATAAATAGCAGCTCTTCCTGACTAGTGATTCTTTCTGTTTTCTTACTGCTGTAACAGGTGTGACTAGAGCAGCACAAGGTGGAAGAGGGTCTGTTTGGGTTCACAATCTGCCTCAGAAGACACGCTGTGGCAGATACTCCAGGAGGCTGGTCACTTGGACCACAGTTCAGACGGAGAGGAGATGAATGCCGGTGCTTCGTTGGTTTCTTGCTTTCTCCCTTTTTACAATGGTGCCACCCACAGCTGGGGCTCATCTTCTCTCCTCACTTTTAAGCCTCTCTGGAAATGCCTTCACAGACACACCCAGAAGTGTATCTCCCGGGTGATTTCAAATCTAGTCACGGTGACGGTGAAAATTTTCATCATTACAGTGATAGTATTTTCTAATTTTAAACCTGTATCTCATATCAGTCATCCTTTCCACCACGTGCCATTTACTTTCAACATTAAGCAGTTGGTCCCCTTGATGGCCCCATGCAACAGGTGACTCAGTGAAATCACCTAACTGTGATCTTTCCATGTTTTGTCCTTCAGTGTTGGTCTGCAGACTTCTCTGTGGTCTGTAACATACAAATGCCATGACTAACATGCTTCATTTTACTCCCAATTAGCTACCACAGGCACCGGAAGCTGAGAACTCCACAGAGGTGTGTTGCCCACCTATATTTGTAGTACCAGCAAATATGGGTGCTTCTAAGTTGTCCCATTTGAATGTGTGCATTGTCTTGATGAGATGTCCATTCTGGTGTTGGGCATGGGAGGGCAGGCTCTAGCAGGCTGGGAGCTGATGGTTGCTGTGTTTGCTGTTTGGGGGTAGAAAGAAAGTCCTCCATAGATGGAGCAGGACTAAACAGGCCCCAGGTGAAAAGACACACCCTTGAAAGGTCTTCACTTATAACCCTTTTCAGTCTAGACATGAGGAATTCTGGAATGTAAAGAGCTTTCTGTTGTACAATTGACTTCAGATACTGCACATAGATCATGTACTTTTGAAAATCAGGGCATAAATCTATCATGTTCATATAAACTACTAAGAAAGTTGCACGAGACTGAGTCCCATCCTTCCCAGCCACCAATTATATTGGCTGGATGAAGGACTGGAGTTGATTCAAGTGAGTAAGATCAGAGACACTGTTAGGGCAGGCATGCTTCCAGGTGTGAAACTTCCTTTCAGACACTGTTGATAAATCATAGGCGTTCAGGCTAAAATGAAAGGTGCTTGATCGGAGAGAAGTCTATCAGAAATGATAAAAATCAAACACAAATGATAGAACCCCTGAGGTGCAATGCATATGTTTTCCAGTGATCAGCCTGTCATAGTCTAATCAGAGCTCTTCACTAGCAGTTTTGATTAGAATACGCATGTGCTCAGGGATTAGGTAGGGAGTGCTGTGGTTTCATGTATGTGTCTGACCCATACTGTATGTATCAATGTCCTTATGCATGTGCTGTTCAGTACTGCATATATGAATCAAAAGGACCTGCCTAGTTGAGTCTTGCTTTATAGCCCCTTTTGGGTTAATATAACTGCATATCCTATAGAACTACCATTTATAATCTTTGCAAAAAAAAAAAAAAAAAAAAAAAAAAAAAATATTATTGGCCCAAAAGCTCATTTGAAACAATGTCGTGGGATGAGGGGTTGGGACAACTGTTAAGCAGAATCTGAAGTATTCATACCTTGGGAAAAACCACAAAACAAGATAATTCTTTTATGTAACCTTGACTGTATATGAGCTCATAATGTATTTTGTTTGTGACTGATTCTGAAGATGGTAGTGTTTCCTTAGTGCCATACTTAAAATGGAATTTCTGCATGCTTAGCAGGAGCTTGAACCAAGTCCACCCCTGAGGCAACTGGAAGACCATAAAAGGGTATGTAGTCTTGAGTCTCAAGAGTTGGGAGCTAATGACTGTAACTGCCCCCTCAGACACACAGCTAATGATTTAAAGACAGCTTCTGTTGGGGTTGATATTGTTCAAACATGAATTGGCTTAGGACGAATCATCCCCTTGTGAAACTAGGGGTGAAACTAGTTGGCAGTTCTGTTATCTACCTGGGCAGAACTGTGCACAGCCAAGCTCCAAATAATAACCAAGGAAGCATTTCACACCTTCCTTCCCAGTAATGGTTTTCTAAATAGGTGATGGGGGAAGCTTTGTGCTTCTACAGTGACTACTGAGGCTTACAGCAGGCTTACAATAAACACAAAAGCACAATGCCAGCAGCCCATAATTACACCACCCAGCTGGGAGAGTGCTAACTCCTCCTTTTCCCTCCAGCCAGTTTTTTACCTGTGGGAGCACGTGTCCCAACAAACACATGCACACTCTCATCATTGGATTGCTTTAGCTGCACAGTTTTCATAGTTTGCTCTTGTTTTTTTAATGCTACATCTCAGCCTTTGGTGAGGCAGGGCTAAGTAAGTCTTTGAACACTAGCAGTCACATAAAGCTCCCCAAATTAGGAAGGGGGTTGTAATTTTTCATCCACTGAGAAGGAAATAAATGTGTATCTTTGAATAGATCCCTAGAAGAGGGATACCACCTAAACATTGATACTTTCTTACAATGCTGGCTGTGTGTTGCCAAAGAATTTTCAAGAAGGTCATATACATACACATACATACATACATCATACATACGAATGAACATGTTGGTCAGCACTGATTTTTCACATTAACCATTTCTGGAAGACAGCTGGGTATCTTGGTTTTCTGAGACATTAGTCAGTAGTGTGCAAAGACTTCCATATATGTCCACATGTCCATCTTTAACAGTGTGTGCTAACCCAGAGGCAAGGCCTTCTTCTTCATGGCACAGGTTAGAGAGTTGAAACTCTCTAAATAGTCTTTGTGAAGACTGTCATGGGGATGTGGTCATTTGTGTCATGGAAAATTTATTCCTGAGATAGCTGGAGGCACCTATATTCTCTTCATATACCCAAGCCCCTTCCCTGCCCCACTCTCTCTCAGATTTTGTTCTGTTTTTGGCCTTGATAGAAAAATCGGTTTTATGATTTCTCCAGCTAAAGAATAGTTCCTAGGAAGTTTGCATTTGGGCCAAATTTGGGCCATGATGCCCCTCTAACAGCCTGTATTCCCTGCATCTCACTGGCTAGGGGCATATTACATTTACATCCTTTCCATTTTTTGCCAGCTAGTGAAGAATTATCCTATATCTTAGAAATAGCCCAACTATCCTTTGTGACTTAAGCTTCTCAAGGGACTCAAAAAAAAAAAAAAAGATTTTAGAAACAGATACAGGCCTCTTTTGGTAGGTACTATATGTGCGATTTTTAAGTGATTTCATGTCTCTGTGCCTTGGTTTCTTCCACTCTATAATGGGGATGATACTAGTTTCTATCCCCTCAGACAGTGACACTGAACTGGGCATAGGAAGAACTGTTAAGCCCAGTGATTCAGGTGTTTAAGACAGAGTGTGATGCTGTAGTTGAAAATGTTTAAGCAATTTTGTAGACAGCAAGGTTAGGAAAAGGGAGGCATTTTTTAAATTCAGATGCTGTTTTACACACTAAGATGTAAGAGACTCAAAGTCTAAGAGGTGATCTTGCCTAAAACATGAGCCCTTTAAGTGGCTGGAACATGGAAACCCAAAAGGCCACCTCCATCTCCTTTGCAGGTGACATATTGACTCTTGGGAACCTTGTTCAGCACATAGCTGTATTTCCCTACAGCTCTTTAGCCACTTCCCTGATAGAAAGGAAACTGATGCCAGTTGTCATTATTTGAACCTGATACTTACTACAAATGAAACTTTTGGCTTTTCATTTTCTCAGTCTTAGGCAATACGCACTGTGTGTGGACTTTCTTACCTGAAGACAAACACCTGGTATTTGTTTGCATGCTCTACATGCAAAAACTTCAATGTGAGGGAGGAAAAAAAATGTATGTCCACAACTCAGTGCCAAAGCCTAAGTGACAATACTGGGAAAGTCACTGTGTTCTCCTTTGCAATCATATGCCATATCCTGGGACATGGTGAACAGCTTAGCACTGTTGAGTAATTTCTATCAAGATGATTAGGAAGGCTTTTCTCAGAAGATTTTAACTTTTCTTAAATTAAACCAATGGCTCAGGAAAAACACTAGAGATTTGCATAACTTTTAATAATGCTTATTCATGACTTCTCTCTGTTCCCTTTTATCTAAAACCCTGTCTTTATTTTCTACAGAAAAACAAAGCAACTTTAATTTATTATTTAAGAATAAACTAAAACAATTCCTGTTTGTTCTGTTTTTTCTATATATTTAAATTTGTATGTGCACGTGCTCGTGCGCACACACACACACACACACACACACACACTGATGGTGAGATGAATATATGCCACAAACCTTGTAATAAGAATGGGGAAAGTTTGTGGGTGGGATGTGTTCTAAACCTTCCCCCCAATAATGAGCACATTTCATGATATTCTCTTATGGGGAAAAATGTACCATTTGATGCATCTGTTGCTATGGTAACTGCTAGGGTTTTTCTACTGAGGAGAGGCAGAATGCAAATGTGCAGTCCCTCTGTATCACTTGGGCATCCGGACTGCATAAACATGGACTTCCTGTGCAGAGCCCACATGTTCCCTTCTTCTTTACCTCCTGCCTGCTTAATCACAAACAGACCTCATTCTTGCTGTTTCTCTCAAAACCAAGAGTTGGAAAGAGAGAAAACCCTGGAAGATGAAAGCCTGGGTCCCCCTGGTCCAAAGTAAAATTGTTGTGTGAAGGCTCAGACATGCACGCTTGCCGACTGGTTCCCATCGCTCATCTTTTGACTTGACCACCCAACTCTGCTGTCTTCCTGCCTCTTCTCTTGATGGTGACATCCATGGTATGAAAGTCTGGTGACAGGTCTCTTCAAAGCAGAGAGGGGATCTAGTTAGAGGCTTCTGGACATTTGCTAAAGGCCTGCCTTCTCCCAGACCCTGTTCTTACTCAAACTAAGTAGAATATGTGCATCCAGCTATGTTTAAATGGAGATTATAATCTCTCATTCAACAGAGAGATCACCTGTGTTTCTCATTTCTTCCTTAGTAGTTCTTGAATGTTTCTTTCAAATTTGTATTTCCCTGAAACCTGCTTTGGAGAATGGTGATATTCTTGTCCAAGCCCCTGGGATAGAATACCAGTCAAACTGTTCCTTTAGGTTGAACTGGAGTTTTCTGGGCCATGAAACAACCTTGCACTAATACTTTTTCTCCCTGGCAAGCATTTCATTTTAAAAGTACATTAAACATTGCAAGTGGCTTCCTCACTGGAAACAGTCTTGGCATTGTGGCTTTTAGTTCCAACACCTTCTCCTCTTGTTGGTTTACTTCATCCACATTTGCCCCTGTGGGCTCTGGCTACCAGCATAAATTAACAAAGGAGATAAACATGGTCGTGTAGTCCTGGTGTTTGATAGACCTTTGCAGTTGGTAGGATCCAGGCTCTCTGCCTTTTTCCTTTCTCCTTGGCTGCCTGCTTCTCTTGGGACACCCCCACCACCAGTCTGTTCCCTCCCTGCTCCTTTCTCAATCACCCACCTTGAAGTCTCCAGACCTATTCTCAGCACTTGCTAACAAATCACTTGAAATTCTACTGACTCACGCTTCAGTTCCAGGTCTCTGCAGAACTCTTGACTCTATTTTAGAGACCTGCTAGCTCTCAGCACCTCCCTCTGCTAGATTTCCCACTTAGCTCTCTTTTGCTGCCCTGGAGGGACTCCAGGCCTTCCTATTTTGCCCCTGGGGAACAGCCCAGGGGAAACACAGATGAGTTGGTGGTCCAGGACTCCCTTAGGATGGGATGGGAAAGGTGTCAGAGCTTAGAATAAGCTCTGATCCTGTGTGCTGGCGTGTTCAAGCACCCTAGTGCTGGGGAACGTGTCACATTGCTTCTGCTTGAGTTGTAAGAAAGGTTATTAGGTCCACTCTCCGGGATTCCACTGATGTTTATATTTTTAAGGCTTTTCATTATAAAAAAAAAATCTAAAATTTGTATTTAAGGAATTGGAAGAGTTTGGGCAACTTCTGTCTAGATCTCAGTTCAGCTATCAACTCATGTTCACTCTCACCCCTTTTCTCTCTTCCCTGTTTCTCTCCCCACCCCCGTGTTATATTTAAGCAAATCATGGTATTTTTTCATCCATAATACATATTTTTTATCAATGTATTTGATGGCTCCTTCTTGTCCAGTGGCTCTCAACACTCCTAATGCTGTGACCTTTAATACAGTTCCTCATGTTGTGGTGACCCTCAACCATAAAGTTATTTTTTTGCTACCTCATAACTGTAATTTTGTTACTGTTATGAATTATGATGTAAATTTTTGTGTTTTCTGATGGTCTTAGGTGACCCCCATGAAAGGGTTGTTCCACCCTCCCCCAAAGGGTTGGAGACCCACAGGTGGAGATTCGCCATCTGTTTCCTGTTTTGTCTTCACCATTTGGCCCCATAAGCCATCTTTGTAAGAAAGGCTTGCTATTGCCTGTCATGTCAACTGAAATTCTTGATATAATATCTTAATATTTTCTTGGGCATGCAAGTGCCGCTCATCTGTAATCCCAGCACGTGGGAAGTAGAGGCAGAAGGACCCAATTCAAGGTAATTCTCTGCTACATAGTGACTTTAGGGCCAGCCCTATGTATGATACTGCCTGAAAACATTTTCCCCTTCTTCGGGTCTTTGAGAATAAACCCTGTGCCTTGAGTAACATTTTATACTGCTATGTGGAAGCTGACCTGTAAAATTTGCAGTTTGTCCAAATTTTATCAGTTCAACCCAAAGGGATTTTCATTTATTTTTTATTGTTGTTGTTAGTTGCCCTTCAGAATTACTATTCTGTCTTTATCCTTGTGTGAGAGGGTACATCAGAATTTAGAAGTCTAGATTGCCACCAGTTTTTCAAAAAAATAAAATAAAATAAAATATCTTATATTCCCTGAGAAAATATTTGAAGTTGACTTCAAGGTTCTTAAAATGATTTTTATTAATCTTTTTTTTTTTCCCACTGAGTGAAACTGGCTCAGTTATACCTGAGTACCCTTGTGTGTGTGGTTTTTGTTTTTGTTTCTCAATTTAAATATTAGTTGCTCAAGTATGCCTTAAATTTGGAATCTGATTTCATTATCCTGTTTGAATTAAGGGTGAGGCACTCAGGCAAATTTTGGTCAACCGTTACTATGGAAACATCAGACCTTCAGGAAGAAGAGAGAGCCTTACAAGCTTTGGCAATGGCCCATTATCACCAGGAGGACCCAGCAAGCCTGGGGGAGGAGGTAAGCTGTGTGCTGTGCTACTGAGCACCATGTGTGAACTGAGCATGGCACAGTAGCCGTCTGCTTTCACCTCAGATGTATTTGTACTGGAAGTTCTTTTGGTCTCTCTGTTTATTTTTGTTTTGCAACTTCTTTTATCTTTGGCCAACCATCAGTTTGCTGCATGAACATGTCTCCCTATAAGATAGTATTTGCCTACATCCCTACATTTATGTTTTTGCATACGTCTTTTGCCTCTCTTTCTCATGCAATGACCTTCTTGTGATACTTGGATGATGCAGGAAACTAGATTTCACTGTCCGTTGTCCTGTGCTCTGGACAAGTTGTATTTACTCATAAAGTGCAGAGGATAATGGCAGCTAGAATGGTGAAAGTTGGCATTCAGTAGGCACATAATAAATGCTATGAGGGCTTTTCCAAAGACTCAAGTTACCCATTTACGTAACAATTACCACTTTTAGCACAGTTTAACAAAGGAATGGAGGCTTGTTTCATATAATGTGCCCACACTCTCATGGAAATTGACCAAAAATTTTAAAAACTGAAAACAAAAACATTTAAAAACAAATTTCTGAAGGTGGTGCAAGTTAATTTAGGCAAGGTAACAGGTAAACGTTTTAAACATTTTGAACTTCATGGCAAATTTGTACCTAGTTTAGGTTTTTAGTGGAACCAGTGGTCAAGACACAAAGCAGCTGGTTGAGGCACAGTCTTGGAGTTGTGGTTGTGGGACAGCTTCAGATCCTTAGAAACATCTATGCGAAACATTAAAATCCTACTGTGCGTAAGAGATGGCTCTGCAGTTAAAAGCACTTGTTGCACTTGTAGAGAACCCAGGTTGAGTTCCCAACACTCATGGTAGATCACAACCATTTATAATTTCAGTTCCTGGGAATCCAACACCCTCTTCAAACATCTAAGAGCACAAGGCACTCATGTGGTGCTCCTAAGCACACACAGGCAAAACATTCATGCACATAAAATAAAACACATCTAAATTAAGTATTTAATATATTCATTCTAGCAGCTTCTAAGGAGGGTGTTTGGCTTTGCTACTTGATGAAAACTTGATAGTTTGTCCACCTGGTTCACAGAGCTTTTCAGGCTTCAATGATGGTGTAATTCTTGGCCATCCCAGAGATGAAATTCAGCATTTCAAACCCCAAATATCCCATGATTCTCACAGAAACATTCCTCGTGCAACAGCTCAAAACTGTTTATCTTTATTTTCTGAGGTGTGTTGTTTGACAGATACACGAAGAAATCAGGAGGCATCGCGATGGAGATCCATCAGTATGGGCTGCCCTAAGTAGCCACAGCAGACATTACACAGATATTAGGGCTGTTCTGAGAGTAGCAATTGTGTTGAGCTCTGTAGGGAAATAGATGGCTGTTTGCATTCTGAAATTCCTCAGACCATGTTTCTGTTTTATTGTTTCAATTATTGCTAATAATGATTGAAGACATATTCTGAAATATGAACTTTCCAAAAATGATCAGAAACCATTCCACTGAGTGACATAGACCCTTTCCTCTTAACTGTGTTCATCTTGTCTGAAGAGCTATGAAGATGGGAACTTCATTTGTTTTGTTCACACCACCACCACCCCACCCGTCCCCTGTTCTTGTCTTCATGGCAAGTAAACTTCATCAATACTTGTTGAATGAATGCATGATGGGAAAGACTGAGTTTGTTAGAATGAGGGCTGGTGGTGATTATTTTAGTTGATGCTTTTCTAGGAGGGGTCTAAGAGATGTTGTTTCCTTTTGATTTGACTCTTAAACCAGTTCTTAGTAATTATGCCTCAAGTCATTGCGTTTTAAGAGACCATATTAACTGCATGGCTTTGAGTCACTTGATGAAAAACGTATCATTTTTCCTTCATTTCATCTGCCTGAATTCAGTACCATCTTCACCACTTGCAAGTTTAGGTGTTCTTTGACAAGCACCCTCACCTCTCTGTTAATCAGCATTTTGTTGTGAGCTTGTTGAGCAGGTTTAAGAAAATAACACAACTGTTTAGAACATTAAAGGTTGGTGTTTAGTGAATATGCAAACATGCTAATTGTTCCCAATGTCCTTAGTAAGAGTAATGTTGTCTTTGTAGGGGGAGGTCCTGGATCCAGCTCCACAAGCAGGGGTGAGATGAGCCTGGCTGAGGTCCAGTGTCACCTCGACAAGGAGGGGGCCTCCAATCTGGTCATCGACCTCATAATGAACGCATCCAGTGATCGAGTGTTCCATGAAAGCATTCTCCTGGCTATTGCACTTCTTGAAGGAGGCAACACCACCATCCAGGTAGGGAGGCGATATGGCAGCTACTGCTGTCCCCTGCCAGGTCCCCGGGAGGTGCTGAGACTTGGTCTCATGAGGGAGAGTTCATTTTGCTTATACTGTGACTGTTCTGTCTTTCCCAGTATCGTTCCAAAATATTAGGTGTGTTTGAAAAATGGAGTAGGTGTGCTGTAATATGTGTCAAATGGATGGTTAAAGTCTGATTATAGCTTTTATTCGGGAATATAAATGTTAGTCATTAGATGGGCAGAAGAGTGTTCAGACTCGGTGTTACTTAGAAGAGCTGAGATTTTAACCCATCTCTTGACTCTAACTACTGTTAACTGTCAACTTTACTTTTAAACTGAAATTTCAATGAAAGCAAATGACTAATAGGGAAAAGAGATTCATGCCAGGTTAGTCAAAGATGAATAAATGGATTTTTTTGTTGTTGTTGTTAGCTGAGTCTGGTATGTCTTTTTAAATAATAATATACTGTTAAAAATAATATTTAAAAATATTAGATTTGGCAAATGCCCTTGAAGAGACTTTTAAAAACAGATTTACTTACTTACATGTATGTGTGTGTGCCTGTATGAGTTTATGTGTGTAATATGCATGCGGGTGCCCACAGAGGGCAGAAGAGGGCATTAGATCCCCTTGAAATGGAGTTACATGCACTTGTGAGCCACCTTTTGTGAATTCTAGCATCAGAATCTGGGTTGTCTGTAAAGGTTGTAAACCTTCTTCTCTCTCCAGCTCCACAGAGTCCATTTAAAGGAGTGTGTGTGTGTGTGTGTGTGTGTGTGTGTGTGTGTGTGTGTGTGTAATTTTACATATAAGTAGCATTTTAATTTTTTTTTTATTTAGATAGGATCTTGCTATGTTGACCAGGCTGATTCTGGTCTCCTGGTTTCCGACAGTTGTTCTGCCTCAGCTTCCCTAGTAGTGGCTTTATAGGTATATTACCATGCTGTACTAGTAGTGCCATTTAAAATGATTCCTCTTGTTCTAAAAGTTGCTTGTGTGTTTATGAGATGTGTCTCTCCATGAATCCCAGGCTGACCTGGAAGTCACTATGTAGACACCTGGCCTTGAACTTCTGGTGATCCTCCTCCCTCTGCCTCCTGGGTTCTGAGTCCTTTAACTATTTTTAAAATCCCATTCTGCCTGAGTTTTTCTTTCATTGTGAGCTTACTGAATAAGGCTTTCTTTGGATGTATGCACCTATGAACATGTACACACACATACATACATACATACACACACACACACACACACACACACATACACACACACACACACACACACACTTTGATCCAAACTTTGTTCAGATTAATCCATGTAATAGAAGGTTTGCCCATATTTCTATATTTGACCTCACATACTCTTGGCCTTACATTTAAATTGAGAGCTTGTTCTATTGAAGTCTCAGCTCTTCTTGCATCAGAAAAGGGTGTTTCTTCCTGAGGATAAATGTGGCCTGGGCCAGGACTCTTGATGTAGCAAACACAGCATGGGTTAGACTTTAGCCTCTGCTCATTCTTCCAGCCTGGAACCCTGTGCCTTGCATAACCCACTGCAGGAGCCCTTCATTCTGCCCTTCATTCCCTACTGGACCCAGCACACACTTTGAAGTTCCTTATTATGCACAGAGATTTGTGGCAATGAGTTACTCACCCGTGCTGGTGGCAAAGTCTACTGTTTGTCTGAGTCATCACATGTGCACATGAGTCATATCATATTGAGACTGCTATTTGGCTTTATCTGGGCATAAGAAAATAGCAGTCTCAATATGATAAGGCCATGTAGAATATAGCAGTCCTTCCCCTTGATGGGACGTACTTCTCCTCACTGCTATATTCACAGTATCAGGTTCCTGTGTTGGGATGGTAGCAATGCTAAAATAAAATGTTCCTTGTCTTGGATCTCCTATGACCAGATAAGTTGATCTAAATACCCACTTGGCCAGGCAAGGGTTCTACCATGTTGCTGGAGTTTCTTGTCCTGCCTTTCCCACTTGAGCCCCAAGTAAACACACTGATGCTATATCAATTATTAAACTGTTGGCTCATGGCTAGGGCTTCTTATTGGCTAGCTCTGTATTAATTATTAACCCATTTCTATAAACCTATGCATTTCTACATGACCTTATTTTACCAGAGAATGCCTGGTGTATCCTAGCCTCCTGGTCTCTTCATGGTCTCTCTCTACATACCTTTTTCAGAATTCTCCTCATCTCCTAGTCCCTCCTATCTTCCTGCCTTTATTGGCCAAATAGTGTTTTATTCATCAGTCAATAAGAGAAACATATATACAGAAGGACATCTCCCATCACTGCCAACTGAGCTGCATACCACGCTACCTCCCAGTGTTTTTTAAAAAGCTTTACTAGTTGAAGAAATCTAAGAATATCTGAGGTCATTCTCAAAAAAAAAAAGTAATGTCTAACAAGGATGCAGAAGATATATACATCCACACACATGTTAAGACATACACATCTTGACACACATGCCAAGAACAGAACTTATGGATGCTCAGTAAAAAGGAGTTGTGCTATGAAAACCACTTGTTGACAGTGAAAAGAGATATCTATATCTAGATAGATAGATAGATAGATAGATAGATAGATAGATAGATGAGTTAAGGAGTTTGTGAAAAGTTTTCTGGTGACCTGTGTTTTGAAGAATGGGTAGAGAACTGCAAGATAAAAACTAAATGTGGGGCTTAAAACTTTGGCACACTGAGGGTGACAAAGCCCTGAGGGATATAAACAAGGGCTGGTTCTTTAAGACTGAAGAACACTGTGCAGGTGAGGTAGAAGGCCTGGATGAGAGTTGGGATTTACATGAGAAGCAATGTAGTCCTCTAAGGAGCCTCAAGATTGTCATATAGGGATCTAAATCAGCAGAGGACAAATAAACTGAAGAAAAAGACATTCAGTAATTAAAAATTAATTTGCTGTCTGGGCATTGTGGTGTACACCTTTAATTCCAACACTTGGGAGGCAAAGGCAGGCAGATCTCTGTGAGTTCAAGGCCGCCTGGTCTACAGAGTGAGTTCCAGGACAGCCAGGGCTATATATAGACAGAGACCCTTGTTGCACAAATTCTAATTGGTATTAATGATAAAAACCCAGAGTCAGAAAAGCAGAACGGCCAGCCACTAGAGAGTTCTTACCTCCACCAATGCTAAGACCTGTCTTCAGACTGCTTAGACTGCACTGCTCTTCAGACTGCATCCTCAAACTGACTGCCTCAGACAGCATCCTCAAACTGCTTCAGACTGACTGCTTCTCAAGCTGCCCTGAGGTCCTGTCTCCTCCCACCTTATATTCCTCTCTTGGCCCAGCCATATCCAAACCTCCCTAGTGCTGGGATTAAAGGCATGTCACTACTCCAAGTGCTGGGATCACCTCTGTGTGAGCTCTGTTTCTCTTTTATACTGGACCAATTTTGTGTGACCCACGGTAGCCTTGAACTAACAGAGATCCATCTGCCTCTGTCTCCTGAGTGCTGGGAATAAAGGTGTGTGCCACCACTGCCTGGCCTTTATGACTAACTTGTATGGCTAGCTATCACTCTGATCTTCAGGCAAGCTGTATTTGTTATATCATAAACAAAAATATCACTATGGACCCTGTCTCAAAAACAACAACAAATTTGCTATAATGCCGGGATGTGGGAAGTGGATGCAGAAGGATGGTAAATTCAAGGCCAACTTCTCCTACATAGCAAGTTTAAGGCCATGAGACCCTGTTTCGGTAAAAAAAACAGGTGCTAATGTATCTCAGTGGTAAAGCATTTAACTCACATGCACAAAGCCCCAGGTTCAGTCCTCATCACTGAGGGAGAAAAAAAGAACACAAATTTGCAAAGTAGCAAATATGTATAATTTACAAGTTTAGTATCCTAATGCACAGCACAAGGACTGATATAGGTAATGAAATTGCAATGTGTATCAGATCTATGAAAAATCAGATTGTATCTGCTCTTGCCACAGAAACAAAAATAAATGTGTATGTAAGGCCATGGTTGGATGGGTGGATGTGCTTCACTGTAGTAAGTTATGTACTGTTTATACAGACCTCACAAATATCATGCTGTATACCTTAAATATGCATGATGAAATTTGTTTATTTTAAAGGTTAAATAGCAGTGATTTAGAGCCAAGGTAGTAAGCACTGTACCCCTCTTGATGACTCTGATAATGATAGTACTAGTTTGGGAGAGGATTTCTAGGGGGGACAAGGGAGCCCTTTGAGCGACAGAAAAACACTATATCTTTATCTAGGTGACAGTTACATGGTTGTGTGCATGCTTACACACTGAGCCATACACTTAAACTGCATGTATTTCACTAAGAGATGAAAGAAAAGAGGGGGTTGCAGGTAAGAGAGAGTCTAAGCCTTGTTGTGACCCTGATGCAAGAGAGAAGAGGGTTAGACTACCGTGGGTGAAACGGATACCATCTGCTGAGGCCAGGCATGGACTCGGAGGCACTTGAGTCCAAGCTGGCTAATTGGCTGTGTGTAGGAGGTGGGAGGGCAGAAGTCTCTGCTGTCTCTAGAGGCTTCCTGTTCTAGGGATGAGTAGATGCTCTGAGCCACCACTGGTGAGGAAATAAAGCAAGCACGGGGCGGCTCGCAGGGCTGAGGCTGCCAGCTTCAAGGCTCACTGCTGAGGTGGAATCTGGGGTTCTGGCAAGATGCCCCGTTTTTTCACAGCATACCCCTGACGGTGATGGCAAGGCAGACAGAAGCTGCTTTTCCTTCCAGTTCTTTATCTTGTGCAGTAATTATGAATATTAGTTCCATGTTTTCACACACTCATGACTCACACGCTTTGGCTGAAGATGAGATGCTGCAACAGAGTCCTGGTCAGCCACTCTCGGGGTAGAACCACTTTCTCGCTCCCTCTCCAGGGATCCAGGACTTTGATGAGTGAAGGGCTGGGCTGTGGGTAACCAGTAGGCTTTTTGCCACTATGCAAGGACTTAGCCTTCAGGCGCCCATTTATGGTCCC